CGAACTCACTTATCCGAGTCCCATTTTTAATTAGTGAAATTTTTATTCGTAAGAGTAGTGGATTGTTCAGTTCTTAACGTAAGGTCTGGATCTATGTTGCCAATAACGATATAAACGTTCTCTTTTCAACTTTTGGTTCAAGCGCAAGAATAAAATTGATGTTGGTAGATATTGCAGTAAGTTGATGGCTTAACTGAATAGAGAACTTAAACCTAATTAACACGTTCACATAAAATCCATATGGGACAATCTATAATTTCAAATAATTGTGAAGCCAATCACAAAAGATCGAGCATGACATTTATATTTAGTCTTTTGACAGAATTAACTTGTATATGACACTCTTGGTGTAGTAATCAAATATTGACAATTGATCTGGTCAAACATAAAGTCTATCTTTGAACCGACTCAATGTTCACATAATTGAAAACTTTACAATTGTTACATATTTATCACCACGGGTGTGTAAATAATTCGGTCAAATATTGACATTCCTTTGAGCTTGTAAATATTCTCATGAATTACGTAGATACAACATTCCTAATATTCCAAATAAATAATTTAGGAAAGTGAATTTACTTTGATAACATGTTGTTTCAATTATTCTATTTTTGAAAATTAGTAATTAGAAATAAATTTTAGTTCCAGAATTTGAAATTTGATTGCCCCCTTAGTTTTTTAATTTATTATTATTTTATCTTTCTTTTGTTTTCACAAAAAAAAATAATAATAATAAAGCAACTCAGCACTACAGCACCCCGGAAGTGAGCGCTGCAGCGCTGACCAGCAATTTCCCCGACAACCTCTCAACTATGAATCTTATTTTCCTTCCCATATAAAAAAAATACTCCACGCCGCTCAAATCCACTTAATTCAAAGATGGATTTAATGTCCATCAATAAGAATTTGGAAAAGGTGGCCACATATTCGACCAATCAATGTGTCGAAGGAAACTTACCATAATTAATTCAAATACATTTTTTTATTCAATTACACTGCATAATAGATACACATAATGCCAAAAGCTTAATTCAACAATCAATTTTAGTCAAAACTTTTCCAAAATCCAAGATTTAAAATTTAGGGATAAATTTCACATTCCAAAATTGAAAAATACAAAGCATGAATTTTAACCCTAAAATTCTTTCTTTAATCTCAATGGTTTAACATAGAGTTGACTCTGATACCATTTGTTATAGTTTTATGAAATTTTAAACCTCGTGATATTGAAAATCTATTACTAGTTGTCAAAATCCTCCATGTTAAATCATCAAGAAAATTATTAAATGCGGAACATACCATTCAATGTGAATAATTCCTTAATATTGGATCTTAAATCTTGATTATTGCTCATTTGGTTCTTGAGTTCTTGATATTGGTTTCCTGCTCCATAATTTTGATTGTCTATATTTCAATTTGATTCTTGATTATAGATTCTTGAATTCTTCGATCATTGCTCTTGATTGTCTGTTTTGATTCCTCCTCTTCAATATGTTTTCTTTTATATTTTTATGTTGATGAGATGACATAAAAATGAGAATCACATATAAATTGGGGACCATAACCCTATTTATAGTTTCCATATGTATTGGCACATCGCCAAATACAACCCTAATAGATTCGGTCTCTACATATATAATTCGACCCACACTTTATTTAGATACCATAAGCCTAATAATTTAATTTTTTATTAGATCACTTTAATTGGACTCAACTTTAAGATAGCCTTATACACAATTAATTACATATGTAGACTCACATGACAAATTAATAAACTAAACACTCTCTCCGCGTGATTATCATATTGGGCAGCGAACTTGCTAAGAGGGTGACCTTCATACATGATGGACCAAACACAGTTAAGTAAGTTATTTACCAATCCTTTTGGTTTAAAGCTAAATCTAATGGTTTCTAGTATATGAAGTCTCAACAAAATATGTATTAGAATACATAGTGGGCAAAGCCACATGGGGTAGAGACGTGGAGTGAATGGAGAAGTTAAGATTGCAAAGCCACATGGGATGGAGATGTGGGGTCAATGGCGAAGTTAAGATTTTTGCATGGGGAGAATGTTGAATGGGTAAAATATACATGTGTTGTGTATATATTAATAAAATATCAAAATTTCTACCTAAATTCAAAAAAATATTCAAAATGTTTCAAGACGGTCATAGCCAACTCTTCAGTAACTCCACCACTGGATGAGGGGGTGGCGATCGGTCCTATTTGATTTATGTTGTTTTCATATAAAAATTAAAATACATATGAACCGTATATACATTTTGTCTCTCAAATATTTTTCACTACTTAAAAGTGAAAATCATGACTCTGCCATTGAGAATTCATGTCATATAATTTGATATAATTTTATGCTAGTTTTCAACATGACTACTATCATCTTCGTTAATTTATTTAGTTTGAGATTAGCTATGAAAAATACAGACAAAGTTTGCTATTATATTCTTTTTAAACTATAGATAATTAAACTCACCAATTTTTTAAAGGTTTATGTTGACTAAATGGGCTGTCTCACTATACTATTTTGTTGGGCCGTTTGAGCTGTTGGGTTGTTAAGTGAAATGTGTTGTGACCTCAATGAACTAATGTTATCAGTCGTACACGTGGCTGGTACTCTGCCCTTGGATGCGAACTGTTCATATTACTTGGTTGACTTAGCTTTTGAGAGTCTGGTATTCGAGAGCCTTCTATTCTCTCTTCGTCTCTCTGTTTCCCTTGTTCTCTCTGAGTGAAGTTTAGGGTTTCATGGTTTTGTAATCGTATCAATCTTAGTGATTTCTTCAATTCTATACTTTGTGAAGTCTGTATATGGTGTATAGATTAAAGGTTGATTTTCTGTAATTACGGTTCTGTATTTGAGGTGAGAATAAACTGAAGAAACCTTAGGTTTCTTCAAACTTTTGTATTGATTATTGTTCTATGCTTAGTGGATCTAGAGTTATATCCTTTGTGAATGTTCAACGCGTGATTATGTCTTTGTGATTGAACATCCGGACCCTACGGGATGAAAAATCATGTGTTCAAGTGTTCTTTTATGATTCTGTATATTATTTTGTGGTTTGTGAACTTCAATCATTTAGTATTATTAGTTTAGGGCCTTACAAGTAGTACCAGAGCCTCGTTTTTGTGTTGCGGTGTGATAGGGTTTTTTGATCTGATTTTCTTGGTGTAGATCTGAGGTTTTTGGGATAGACGAGTAGTTCTTTGTGAGAGAAGCCGTTTTTCCTTTTTCACTCGGCTTAACTCGTTGTAAATCGTAGTTAACCCTGTGATTGTACTGAGTCCTGGTTATTTTTGCTTTTGACTCGCACTGAGTCTAGCGAGTTGGAGCAACTCATTCCGATTCCTGGTTGAGTATGTGACTCACTGCTGAGTTCTACTGAGTCTTGTGACTCGCTGCTTTCTTGCATTCGTTCTGGACTCCTTGATGTGATTCTGGTATTCTGCTCATGCTCTCTTCATTCTGAGATATTGAGGTTTCAGATTCTGGTACCGTTTCTAAACCTCCTCTTTACTTTTGATAGCATTGTTAAGTTCTTGAAACTGGTTATTTAGGTAAGCAATTCTCCATTGCTTTCCTTTGTCTAAGACCTCAAGTAAGGGTCTGGGAATCTGAGGGAGCAGTGGGTTCAA